CAGGCTTTCCTTGAACTTGCAACCCTCCTGTCTCAGTCCCCTGAGTAGCTGGAATTACCTGCCTGTGTCACAGTGCTCAGCTTTCTCTGTCTTTAGTGATTTAAGTACATGTGTTATACTTACGGTAGTAAGTATATTAAAGGTGGGTTTGTGTCCGATTCATTTTTTTTTTTTTTTTTGGTAATGGAGGTCGAACTTGGGACTTTGCGCTTATGAGGCAGGCAGCAGCATCACTGAGCTAAATCCCCAGCTCTGATTCATATTTTTATCTTCAAAAACAAACTATGTGCACTTTTTTTTTGTACCGGGGATCGAACTTGGGACCTTGCGCTTGTGAGGCAGGCACTGGAACCAATGAGCTAAATCCCCGGCCAAAAACAAACTGAATAAAAGGCATTGAGTATGTTGGCTTGAGCAAAAGCCTTCCACTTGCCCCTTAGGCCCTCCCCTCACCCTTACCGAGATCCTTTGGAAATACATTGACTACTCATTGCTGCTGGTTCCCACATCGTCAACACGCCCTTGTCTAATTTTGTTGCTAGCGTTGGTCTTCTTGCTGCTGTTGTTTTACCATAGTAAACACCTCCTGCCATGAGTGCATTTGCTGTACTCTCTGTCCAGATCAGCAGATCTTGTCTCCTGGCCTCTTTCACACCCTCTCCAACCATTTTCCCTCCTCCCTGGCACTGTCCACCTTGAACCCTGCTTTAGTTGAAGGCCAGCCCTGAATTGAAGAGCACCCAGTTTGGAGAGCTGGCTTTCCCATATGCAAGGTTTATGATTTTGGGCAATTAACCTTTTCTGCCTCACCAGTAAAATAGAGACAACAATTATACGGAATTATTGCTCACAACCCTGCCCATTAGGCGTCTAGCAAGGGTTCAGCAATCACTGCTTTTCTTTTTAATGCTTACACCTGGCATTTTATTAAATATATAGTCTGGATTCTCTGCTGGGAAGTAAGCTGCACTATGGTGGGACTTTGTTGTTGTTTTTTAAAATAAATTTCACTTTATTTTATCCCATTCCCCCCTTAGGGCCCCTCCCCTATGTACCAAAGCTTTGTTTCCATTTTTTCCTTCTATTTTCATTTTTTCTTGTTCCTTCCTTTCTCCCTCCCTCCTCCCTTGTTCCTCTTTCCATTTGCCTACATCCATTACACATCTCAGTCCTTATTTCTCATTCAGTCCCACACACCAGAGAAGCAATGTGGTATTTGAACATGTGTCCAATTTATTTCACTTAAGAGCATGGTCTCAAGGTCTATCCATTTAGCTATGTCTGAAGAGACTTTATTAATCACAACTTTATCCTCAGCTCCTTGGGCAGTGTCTGTGGTACAAAGACTTTCAACAAATATTTGTCCAGTGTGATCAAATGTGATTGAATTTATTGAATGTTTTAAAATTCATAAATATTGAACTGCATTATTTTTAAAACAGCCTTACCAAGCGGCCAGGGATTTAGCTCAGTGGTTTCACTGCCTGTCTTGCAAGCTCAAGGGTCTGAGTTTGATCCCCGGTACCAAAAAAACAAAAACAAAAACAAAAACGCAAAACAGGCTTACCATAATTGTGTTAATATTAATATAAAAAAACCCCTATGTATTGTAATTTGTCACACAGAAACTCGCTTGGCCTTTAAATTTAAGTGATAAAGTCATACAATGGAATAAGATCTAGTTGACTACATTGCATTATGAAACTTGACTGGCTGAAGCAGAGTTAATATTTGACAATACTTGGGCACCAGGAAAAAAATGCATGAGATGATCATATAAAGTGCTAAAACAATGCCTAACACAACATAGCTCCTAAATAAATTATTACAAGCAAACCCAAACAATCCAAAAAGCCTAAACAAGAAAATGCAATAATGTAGAAGATAATTATGCTTAGAAATATGTAACAATTGTTTACCTAAGTTACAAAACACCCTAAGTTACAAAACATTTATATTACTTCAAAGTCTTCTAGTTCCTCTGGACAATGTGGGTGTGGGCTGAGTGATAATGATGTCCATACCCGAATGCCTGGAACTTCTGAATGCTATTTAACTTGAATTCCTCGGGAAGGGGAGAATATCCTGGATTATATCGGGGGCCCAGTATAATTGCACAGCCCTTCAAATTAAAAGAGCAAGGTGGAAAGGTGGGTCGAGGACATGCGCAGTGGAAAATGGTCAGAGGAGGCTTGAAGCATGAGGTCAGCGACCTGCTGCAGTTGGCTTCATAGGTGAAGGAAGCCAAAGCAAGGACACCAGCAGGGAAACACGGGCCTCAGTTCCCTTTCCAGAGTCTAAGCTATCAACTTGAATGATCCGAGAAACACTCCTCTAGAGCTCCTGAAGAAATGCAGCCTCCTGAGACCTGAATCTGCTCTCTGAACTGCAGAGGTGATTCTCACGATAATTTGATAGAACAGCAATGGAAAACTTATGCAGACCACTCCCCGAGATGTCTCAGTCATTAGTCTTCTGAGTTCTTGGGCCTCAGGCAAGGGGAATAACCCAGCATGGACTCTGGCATTTGGCCTCCTTCATTTGACATGTTTTTGAGATTCATTTACATTGTAATAATAATTCTATTAATTTTTCACTACTGGGGATTCACAACTAAGTTACATCCCCAGCCCTTAAAATTTTTTTGAGTCTTGTTAAATTGCTTAATTGCCCACACTGGGCTTGAATTTACAACCCTCCTGCCTTAGCCTCCCAATGCTGGGATTAGAGGTGCGCCACTGTGCTCAGGCTCCATTCTCTTATTGATGGATATTTTAGGTCATTTCCAGTTTCATTTTTTGGGAGACGGTCCTGCTATGTGATTCAGGCTGGCCTTGAATTCACTATGTAGCTCACGCTGGCCTCAGACTCACAGTGATCCTCCTGCCTCAGTTTCCTGAATGCTGGGGGTTACAGGCATGCACCACTATGCCCAGCTGTTTCATTACTATATATGTGCACATTTTTGTATTTCCTTTGTGAAAGAGTCTCACTATATAGTTCAGGCTGGCTTTGAATTTGCTTTGTGTTCCAAGCCTGGCAATATGTACATTTTTTTTTTTTTTTTTTTTTTTTTTGAGACAAGGTCTCACTATGTGGTTCAGGCTGGCCTTAAACTATGTAGCCCAGGCTTGGCCTCAAACTCGAGGTGATCCTCCTGTTTCAGCCTTCTGGGTGCTGAGATTACAGGTGTGTGCTGCCATGTCTGGCTGCACTTAATCTTAAATTTTGGACCATTTGACCATAAACTAGGGAAAACCACGCATCTCTGCATTAATAATAATTTTTTTTAGGGGAGACTCATGATCTAAAATTTAAAGTAAAACCACAATCCTTTGGTAAAAGATATCTATATATAGCTTTTTTTTCAGCTGTAATGTTTGAAGTTTCATTAGTTATTACATTAAAGGAATGATAAACATATTATAAAAGATAAAATTTATTCTAAGTAGAAATCAGGAGCTCCTTAATTGGTAATAACAGTAACAGAGCATGACAATGGGCCAGGGACTTAGCTTAGTGGCACTGTGCCTGCCTTGTAAAAGCAAGGTCCCTAGTTTGATCCCCAGTACCAAAAAACCCAAAGCCCCCAAAACAAAGCCCCAAAACCAGAACAAAGAAGTAATAGAGCATAACAGCCTGGGAAACAGCAACCACCCTTTCTATGCCCTTGCTTGTGCCAGGCAGGTGCTGTGTGCTGAGCCAGCCCCAACCACTACCTTTCTTGGAGCTAATGAACTATCAAACTAGCTGCTGTGTAGGTTATTTCAAGCTTAACCGAGCCCTGGCCTTTTCAACTTTCAGTTCATTTTCTATTTTTCCCCTCCAGGACCAGGGATTAAACTCAGGACCTTGAGCTTGCCAGGAAGGCATGGTGCCACTGAGCTACATCCCTGGCCCTTTCAGTTCATTTTCACAGACATTATTCTGTTTCCAAACCCCCTAAAGTAGATTTGAGATTTTATTTAAAAATTTTTCAGATTTTATTGACTTTATGAATGAGGGGGAAAATGGCAAAGATATTAATTTGCCTAAAGTCATAGTTTGCATGAGGTGGAACTGGTAACTTGGTGCTTTTGCTACTGGAGCTTCCTACTTCCCACCTGTTGCCTTAACCCTCAGCCTGTCCTCAATTTCAACTGATAGCTTTCAATTACATTAACTTGATTTTTTTGATGTCTGTATGTTTTATAAAGGAACTGATAATTTTGGGGTTTTCTTGAGATAAGCGTCTAATTCAGGCTGGCCTTGAACTCACAATGTAGCTTAGGCTAGCTTTGAACTTGCAGTGGTACTTCTGCTCAGCCTCCTCAGTGCTGGGATTACAGGTGTGTGCCACTCATGCCTGTCTGGGAAATGACACTTTTACAATTATTCTACCTCAACAGCTGCTTAAATACTTTAAGTGTATATAGACTGCATTACAACTTGGATATGCAGAGCAGAACTTGTCTCAAAAAACCAAAGAACCAACCAACCAACCAAAAGAATATGCAATGATTTTCCACGACTCAAATAACATGTACTGAGGATTCTGGACTTCTAAAAATAGGCAATGACAATAAATATCAAAATAACCAATTTCTAAAACTTTTCAGACATTAAATGTGATTTACAATATGCATTTGCCATTATGGTATAGATAAGAAAATAGTGTGCATACTAAATTCATCCTATTTAGCAAAACTCCTAGTATAATAAAAATATATGCTTATGAATAGAAGTTTCTTCTGGGTACATTCTTCAGTGTTCATAAAATTGTATATATTATATTCTGTATCATAAAGTCTTTTCAGACTATGCAGTTAAAATCATAAATGGAGATATAAATTCAGTTATCACTATAGAAAGTAGTTATAGGGTATTTTAATTTCATTGCCCAAAGATTTATGGACATTTTACTTATTAAATCTTGATATAGCTATTCTTTGAATTTTTAAAATGTCTACATCTTTCAGAAATTAGAAAAAAGTTATTTGCATAGGCAGAGCATTCAGCTCTGAGCTGACAGTTATTAATGTCTCTTGGTTGGCTCTTCAGTGGATAGAATGATGAAAAACCTGGGATTGCATGATAACAACGTGGAATGCCAGATGTGTAGCAAGAGATAGAACATTCTGCTTTGGAGGAAGATGACAAATGAATAAATGAGTAACACAGACACAAATTAGTGTAAGTTCCTAACCCTAATAAATTATTCATTTGCAAAAATTACCAAAAGTAAAAAAAAATTTATTTTACAGAGTGGTTGGTCTTGTAATACATCAAAAACTGTAACGTGATACTTTCCTGATTTCACTACTTAGCTCAAATCAGTGGTTGAAGTTTCTTCTAAATAATTTAGTTTACATTTAAAGTGGCAAGTTAGATTTTACTTAATGAACTTAAATTATACTTAAAAACCAGTTTTATATACAGAAAATTCATAAATATATAATTTTTATTCCTATTTTATCTCAGGGTATGCAAAAAATTGACTAAAAACTTCATCTGGGTCTCTGTAATAAACATGTAAATACATATTTACAATGGAGATACTTTCTGATAGAAAGAAAACAAGTAATTTTGGTCATTAGAATCCATCATTTGTCCATTTTCAAAGATGATGTAACATGTTCATTCAAATGTTAAGATTTCTTTCATACACATAATTCAAATGTGGTAATTATTTTTCTTGTACCAATAATGTTTTATTTTGTATTTAAATTTTCTTTAAGAAAGATTCCTTGATCCAATCTCCAAATAACAGCTTTAAAAGGTTTTGTACAATTATGTGCAATTTTTGTCCTTCGGGCACTATTACAAACACTGAGTTAATCTTCATCACTGACAGGCCAGGGGTGTTCCTGAGTTATCTCACATGATGTAAGTCCCATCTTTGCAGTATTTCATGGACTCCATTTGTTTTGTCATAGCCAGAACCTCATGAAATCCAGTACTTAGGCCAGACATATGTTGAAAGTACGCCTCTTTTTCTACTTGAATTGTTAAATTGTTTATTCCAGCATCTTTAAGTATTCCTGTAACCTGTTATAAAAACCAAACATTTTAAAGCATTTAGAGTAATGCATTTAGTACGTCTTAAATAATTAATATCACACATATAATAATAGCTAAAGATACTGTAAGGTAAAGCCTCATAGTAATATTTACTATTTAGTCAAACTGTTAAATGGATCTCCAGGAAGGTCATTAAATCACCGATAAGACATTTGTTTATTTTAGGCTAGTAAGATAAGCAGTGGGAGTGGAGAAGAACAAAGAAATCTATGATCAATTAGTTGGATGCACCATTTGGCACATTTAGCTTGGGTTACAGAACTTTTTTGTGCAGGGATTGAGCATAGGGCCTCTGTGCTGAGTTACATCCTCAGCTCTTTATTTTAATTTTAGGTTTAAGACAAGGTCTTGCTAAATTGCTTAATTGTCTAGGCTGGGCTCTAACTTTATAATCTTCCTGCCTCAGCTACCCAGAATGCTAGGACTGCTTACAGAACTGTTTTGATTTATATATCAAAATATAGCATATTTTGATCCATGGTAAGAAAAAGTAGCATATATTCTGCCAGCTTGGTTATTATTAATTTAGAGATATATTTACAATAACATTTCTTTATAATCTACTGGAAACCAAAATGGATCATACATGAATTTTTTTACATTAAAAGTAATATTTGACTGTAACCATTTTTGGATATAAAAGAAATCTAAATGTAAAAAAAGCTGTATTACCCTTAGGCTGCTGAAAGATTTTGTTTTGTTTTGTTTCTGAAACAGGGTCTCGGTACATAGCTCAGGCTGGTCTTGAACTCACTATGTAGTCAAGGTTGTCCTCAAACTTGCAGTGATCCTCCTGTCTCAGTTTCCCTAGTGCAGGGATTACAAAGGTGTGCCACCATGCCCAACCCTGAAAGACTGTGTTTGGAAAGTGGATGGCTACTGAGCTGTATGAAGAAATGATCTGTGTACTTTTATGAATTAAAACAAAAGATTATTACCTGCTGTACTATTCTTTGTTCCAGCATATCAGATGTCACCTGTATATGAATTGTTCCTGCCACAATACTGGCAGAATGACGCCAAAAATGAGGGTCTCGATATGATATTAATCCTTCAATTTTCTGTATCTGTCAAATAAAAGAAGTGATATAAATGTTCTTACAGGATAATTTACTTAACATAATGAGGATGCTTTGTGCTAGAAAGTTAATACACAGATTGTTTGTTCAATGCATGATCTGCCTACTGTAAACATTACCCGGACATGGCGGGATTCCTTTACACATATAATCATGTACAAGATAACACAGTCAAAAAAGATATTCTCCATGTCCCACAATAGAAGATCAGTTAAATTATTGCCTACCCATGTAATATAATACTATAATATTGTTTTTTTCTTTGTACCGGGGATCAAACTTGTGCTTGAGAGGCAGGAGGCAGCACCACTGAGCCAAATACCCAGCCCACTATGTTACTGTTAAAATTGTGCAGTGGCACACATCTATAACCCCAGATTCTTGAGAGGCTGAGGCAGGAGAATGGAAAGGCTGAGCAATGTAGTGAGACACTGTCTCAAAATTAAAAAAAAGCTGGGTATGATGGTGCACCCCTGTGAACCTAGCACCCTAACAGGCCAAGGCAGAAAGGTTGCAAGTTGGAGCCCAGCCTGGGCAACTTGGTGACACCATCTTAAAAAAGGCTGCAGATGTTGTTCCATGTGAAGGCCCTGGGTTCAATCTCTAGTACCGGACTTCCAAAAAACAAAAAGTAATGTTCACTAATTATGAGAAGGTGAGAAAACTTCTCTAATTTTATGAAAACAAATTGAGGAGTTATAATTTAAATAGTCATGATGCTGCAGCTAGGACTGGGGTATAGGCGAAATGATAAATGCACATGCTCAGAATGCACAAGGATGTGGGTCTGATATCTTAACATACAAAAAAGAAAAAACTCACAATGCCAACATTTCCTTTTTTGATTTTGTTTTTGGTATAGGGACTGAACTCAGGACCTTGCACTTGCAAGGCAAGCAGCGGCACCACTGAGCTAAATACCTGGACCAACATTTCCTTTTTTACAATAAATTTAAAAAATTTTTACTAGCACATATTTACAGTATATAATGGTTAAATTCACTGTTATTCTTTCCTTTTTTTTAATTTAAAAAATCTTAATTGGCTTTCTGTTCAATTCTAGAAACACACCTTAAGGGCAATACTTCATTCCATAATCATGATGGCAACTTTTCAGCAGTAGATCTCAATTACTTTGATATGGTAAGCCACATGGTTAGAATATCCTATTCTGTACTTGTGTCTTTTTTCCTATCTATCTATGTATGTGTCTGAGACAGGGTCTCTCTATGTAGGTGTGGTGGTACATGCCTCTAGTCTCAGCATTTGGGAGGCTGAGGCAGGAGGTTCACCTCAAGTTTGAGGCAAGTTCACTGTACTAGTGAGTTCAAGACCAGCCTGAACAATATAGTGAGGCTGTCTCAAAAAAAACAAAGAAAAAACCAACCAACCAACCAACCAACAAACAAGACTTTCTCTACTTCTATAATTATAAAAATATTCTTTTACAGTGAACCCTTGAGTTATGGATGGCCTGACATACAAACTTGTGTTACCACTGGCATTTTAGTTTTAACTTATAAACAAAGTCTTGAGTTACGACCCGAATGTCAGCTGCTTGTGTTTCCAGATGGTCTCAGATACAGATTTAACCCTTAATGAGTTCTGTAAGGAACATTACAAACATCCTTTCCTGGTGGGGTTTATTGAGAAATCCTAGGCCAATTGTCTCTTGGACACCAAGCTCTGCCTGTACATAGGAGAGAGACTTTGAAGGCTGTGGAGAGGAGCCTGAGCCTTCCACTGACCAATTTGAGTTAAAACCAGCTCTCGTGAACAAACTGAGTTTGTAAGTCAAGGGTCCACTGTACTTTAATATTTTTGTAATTATTATTATTATTTTTTGAGATGGTATTACTATGTAGTTGACTAGAACCCACTATGTAGCCCCGGCTGGTCTCGAACTCACAACAATCCTACTGCCTCAGCCTTCTAAGTGCTGGGATTACAGGCGTGTGCCACCATGCCTGGCTAGTTTTGTAATCTTTTTGTTATTTACATACTTAATCTATTGGAAATAAATGGCATATAGTTTTTTCTCTTTTTTTAAAATCAACCATTATATATTTAGACCAAAGATTGTTGCCTTAGAATAATGACTACTAATCTGGTAAGATAAAAACAAAGATTCTATCACACGATAATTACATATTCATTTACGTAACTGGCACATTAAAGTCTGTTTAAAGGGAATGCTAATCGAAATTGAAGTTTGACTATACTGTTCTTTCCTTAGTAAGACCGCATCTGAAGACAAGAGGATAAAAGGACCTGATTAAGAGGATGCCTGGGAATGAGGGATGGGAGGAAAGAGGACTGTACAAAGCAAACAGGAAGGAAGGAATCTGAGGTAGGAGACTGTAGAAGAGCGGCTCACAGGCTCCAACTGAATCCTGCTGGAGTAAATCCACCTTGATGTATTGCCTTCAGGTATAATGGGGTGGAAATACTGATTAGGAGATTAACCCCAGTTCTCTAACAGTGACAGTCTGTTAGTGACTACAGACATGAATGGACCTCGAATTATGAACAGTTGTAGATGTGAAAAAATCATGGAAGTAGCTCAATATCTGCCTGTAAAAATAATTTTACATTATTGTTTTTTTATGCATCATATTGTATATTTGTGTCAAAGGTGTGGTTGGACTTATGAATGAATATGACTTATGAAGTTCTCGTTCTAAGTAGGGGACTTAAAGTACTGACAACATGTGCTGTAAAAGTCCTGTCTGCAACACTGTGAAACCTGCAGTGATAACTTTGTAGTATTTATAAAGGCCTTAAAGGTCAGAGAGCCTTCAAATAGCAGTTACTTCATCTGGGCCTAACAATGAGAACAGGCAGAAGAGATGCCTTAGTTTAAGGTCTATGATTCTGAAGTCCAGACAACTAGCAAGCTACACAGCGAAGTCCTGAAGCCTGGTCCAGTCTGTAAGGAGCAGTGGTGAAGAGGCTAGAGCTGAAATCCAAACTGAGAGACTGATTAGTGTCTACACTGCGAGCCTCAGTTTCTCTTCTACAAAGTGGGACACGGGAAGGAAGTCTTGAGCAAATGCACACAAGCAGCAGAGCACAGTGTCTGATGACATTGTTAAAATGCAGCTTCTGACTCAGGAGGTCTAGTGTGGGAGCTGAAGTTCCAAATGTCTACCAGGCTCCAGAAGATGCTGCTGCTGCTCACCGGCAGGCCAGCAGTTCATGTCTCCACACCTACTTCACTCCTGAGTGCAGGAGACTGAGTATCACCAGGCAGCTACGGTGGGCAGAGCAGTTGGCCCACCATGGGCTCTGGGCTGCACTTACACCCTGCCTAGGACACTGCTAAGGGAGGATCAGGACTCTGGGTTTCATCCAGCTTCCTATATTTAGTAATTTTTTTTCCCCTGAAAACTCTGGACACTGCTCTGAAAAAGACTGGCACCAAAAGGAAAGAAACTGCTGAATCCTCTTCAGTCCTATGATAGTACAGCTTTTCAGTTCCACCAAATGGAAATGTGGTAAGCTAGAGGATTATGTAAATACTTGTTTTGATTTGTTCTGATTTGGTTTTTGGCTTTCTGAGACAGGGTCTTGCTATGTAGTTCAAGCTGGTCTTGAACTCACTAGGTAGTCCAGGTCAGCCTTGCACTCATGGTGATCCTCCTTGCCTTAGCCTGCCCAGTGCCAGGTGGTGTGTACTACTACGCCTGGCCTAGCAGTCTTTATCACTAATCTGAAATGCCATCTTTGCTATCTACTGAATTTCATTAATGCGTAAGTCTGTTTCTGAATGAACTATTTTCTTTATTCATGGTACTAGTGATTAAATCCATAGGTGCTCTACCACTGAGCTACATCCCTGCCCTTTGAAAAATTTTATTTCGAGACAGGGTTTCCCTAACTTTCCCAGTCTAGCAGTGACTTTGTGATTCTACTGCCTGTCTCCCCAGTAGCTGGGGTTACAGGCATATGCCAGCAGGTCCTGCAAACTGTCTTTTTTTTTTTTTTTTTTGGTACAAGGGATCAAGCTTGGGACCTTGTGCTTTCAAGGCAGGCGGTGGCACCACTGAGCTAAATCCCTGGCCCTGCAAACTGTCTTTTTTAAAAAATTGATTTTTGTGTTTATTCTTGTGTAAGGACCAAAAGGTTAGCTTTGTATGTTAATTCTATAATTTTAAAATTATAAAATAGGATCCTACTAGTTAATTCTATACATTCATTTATGGCTACCTTTTTTATTTTCAAATACCGACTCTTTCAAATCAGTTCCAAATAATATTGGATTATCTACCCTCACACACACACACACACACACACACACACACACACACACACACACAAAAATCCCAATGAAAGGCAACTGAATTAAGCTTTAGAAAAAAAGAAAATTAACATTTTCATGACACAGCATTCCCATCCAAGAAAGTATCTCTATTTAGCCAGTCCCACTTTTATGTCCTTTGAGTGAAACTGTATTTTATTCATTCATATTTTGCATATTTCTTGTGGTCAACTTAATTTTGAATGCCATTTTTAAATGAAAAAATTTCATACAGTACCTTTTCTAAAGCAATGTGTAGTTCTTTCTCATGTTCTGGTGGCAGTCTTAGAAGGAGAACTTGACAAGCATCTTTAATCAGTGGGACAACACTGAGAAATATTAGTACAGCGATAAAAAGAGAACAGAGGGGATCGGCAACAAACCACCCAAACTGCTCTATCAGAATTGTAGACACGATCACACCAATACTGCCAAGTGTGTCTGCCAAAACATGTAGAAATACACCTACAGAAAAAAAAATATAAGAACGTTAAAAATCAAGGTGCAGCTAATTTATTTATTGATTGATTTTTTTTGAGTTTATTGGTATATTTATTTTAGGTATACAGCACAGTTACATTCATCATTGGGATCTTGTACCTTTACATGACAGGTCTTGGTTCTCATTTTTTCTCCATACCCCTGCCCTCCCTTCCCTATTTACAAATATTTTATTTGCATTTTTTCATTTTCTCATATTTTTTCTTTTCCCTTATTTCCTTTTCCCTACCCTTCACACTTCCCCTACACCTTAAGCCCTTTTCTTCCTATTTCACATTGTCAATTATACCATTAGGATGTTATTTACAATTATAGTTTTTCACATCAGAGAAACTATTCAATATTTACACATGTGACTTATTTATTTCACTTAACAGTATATCCTCAATATTCATCCATTTTCCTCTGAATGACTCTAATTTCTCATTCTTTATGCTGAGTAGTATTCCATTTTATAGAAAAACCACATCTTCTTTGTCCAGTCTCCAACTGATGGGCAAATGGGCTGTTTCCAAGTTTTAGCTATTACAAACTGTGCCACTATAAACACAGGTGCGCATATATCACTGTGATGTGATTCTTTCACTTCTTTTGGAAAGATACCCAGCAGAGGGATGGCTGGGTCAAATGGAACCTCTAATCCCAGCTCTCTGAGGTATCTCCATATTGACTTCCATAGTGGTTGCACCAGTCTGCACTCCCACCAACAATGGAGAAGGGTTCCTTTCTCCCCACAGTCCCACCAACATTTGTTATTGTGTGATTTCTTGATAGTAGTCTTTCTTTGTGGGGTGAGGTGAAATCTCAGTGTTGTTTTCATCTGCATCTTTCAAATGAAGGTGCATCTTATTTAATTCTTTCATCTATCCTACCAATATTGCTGGGTACCTCCTAGACAACATGCACTTTGCTAGTGGCTAGTAATTTAAAATGACTAAAATGGAGTCACTGTTTCAAGGCATTTGAGTACAGTAAAAAGGCAAAGATGTAGGCAAGCTAAGGACACAGTGTAGTACGTTTTTGGTTTATCTGGGAAGGCATCATAAAACTCATGTTTGAATCAGTTTTTTGACTTACCCATGATCTTTATATTAAACAGCAAGAAGCAATTAATATATTCCTATATTTTTTATAATACAACATCTCCTTCCCTTTTTAGTAAAAGTTCATAATTGTATACTTCAGCTTTTCCCTGCAACCAACATTTATTCAGCTGCCAATATGAAAATGATTCTATTGGGGATGAGGATGTAGCTCAGTGGTACAGGTGCTAATCTGCTAGACAAGCTTGAGGGTCTGGATTTATTCCTCAGTATCACAAAACAAAATAATGGTATAATTACAGTAATTTATTTAAAAGTAGAATTTATGAACAAATGCATCCTCCTTCCCCCGTCCCTCTTTCCTCTCCCTCCTCTTTGTTTTGTGGTGCTGGAGGCCCTCATGCTTGCTAGGCAAGCAATACACCACTGAGCTACATCCCCAGCTCCTTTTTCATTTTTTTAAAAAAATGTTCTTTATTGTGGTAAGAACACTTAACATGAACTACAACCTCTGAATGCTATCATACATCCATAGTGCTTATGGATACAATGTTACAGTAGATTTCTGAAATGTACTTTGCTTAGCTGAGACTTTAGCTTGCTGACTAGTAGCCTTCATTTCTCCCTCTCTAGTCACCACTACTCTGTGCTTTGAGTCTATGAATGTCATCATATGTTAGTGGAATCATTGGCTAGTGGTCACTTTTTGTGACCAGCTTATTTCACTTACCATAATCTCTTTAAGGTTCATCCATGTTGTTGAATATTACACAATTTCCTTAGTTTTTAAGGTTGAGCAATATTCCATTTTACTTATACAAGCATGGATTTTTTTTTTTTCGGTTGAGACAGGGTATTGCTATGTAGCTCAGGCTGACTATGAACTTGTGTCAATCCTCCTGCCTCAGCTTCCTGAGTGCTGGGATCATAGGCATGCATCACTACTCCCGGCACATGAGCATTTTCTATAGCATATGACCTTAGACCTATTTTTGAATCACATACTGCTTTTTTCATTTTGAGAAAGTGTCTTATTATGTAGTTTAGGCTGGCAATGGACTTTCTATATGGCACAGGCTGGCTTCAAATTTGACATCCTCCTATTAAAGGCATGTGGCACTGTGCCTGACTGTCACATATTGCTTTTTAAAAATGCGATTGTATGAGAAAGCCAATATTTAATAAAAAGGAGTATCAATTGAGAACACAGGTGAAAGGTAGGACAGTACTTTGCAAGGACTTACCCCTCATGTTAGCATTCATGCCTCCACCTAAGGATCCATGGCTGTGACCGTGCCCATGGTCACTGTGTCCATGTGTGTGGTGTGAGTGGCTGTGATCAGATGAGTGACAACCTCCTTGAGAAGCTCCATGGCTGTGGCTATGGGCATGGCTAAAGGCACAGATTCCAATAAGGTTTACGATCAGCCCTCCAACTGAGACTGGCTAGCAAAAGGAGAACAGAAAATCTTTAAGTTTGTAATTTTTAAATTTTATTTTGTTTTTTTCAGACAGGGTCTCACTATGTAGTTGAGACTGACCTGGAACTCACTATGTAGCCCAGGCTGGTCTCAAACTCACAGCAATCCTCCTGCCTCCGCCTCCCGAGTGCTGGGATGACAGGTGCGTGCCACCACACCCGGCTTAAATTCATAATTTAAAAAATAAAATTATTACTTAAAAATTATATAGCTACATATAAATAAATAAACTATTACCTCCCCTGTTGCTTTTGCTGTGTTCACCACCAGGAACTGTTGCCCCTCTACCATGTGCCACCCTACCTTAGAGCTTGCTGATTATGGACTGAAACCTCTACAAACTGTAAGCTAAATAAACTCCTTACCTGTTGTCTTTAAGCACTGGAGATTTTGTCTCAGTAACAGAAAAGAGCAACTAAGAAAAAATTTGGTACCAGAGAAATGGGGCCATTTCTTTGACTATATCTGACTGTATGGTTCAGGAGCCTTTGAGAATGGCTTGTAGGAAGAGTTTGGAAGATTCAGAGATGCTAGCTGAAAAAGAGCTGGAACACCTTAGGCTGATGGGAGATTCTGGTTAGAGCTCAGAAGACCAGAAAGCCAGTAAAGACCAGGCTCAGAAGGTTTCTACTGGGAAGAACTGCATTGGTTGTTGCACTCCAAATGATGTGTATTATGATTTGGCAGAAAATTTGTCTGCATTTTGCTGATGTCCAGAGACTTTGCCTGAGACAGAGATTAAGGATGGCAGACTAATTACTCTCCAGAAGAAATTTCAAGGCAGTCTAATGTTGACATCATCTCATGGCTGCTGCTGGGGAATTTTACCTAGATCTATGTTGAGAATCAAGAGCAAAGAGCCCAACAGAATGATTTAAAATGTTTTGAGTTTGGCTAGAAGGGAAGCTCCAGTAAAGCTGCAGGCTGCAAAGATAGAGCAGAGATCTTGATTGTTGAGAAAGAGCAACAGAATAAAAAAAGATGTCCTGAGAGCATCACAAGAAGCAAAAGACTCCACCCTTTGCAGCCTCAAAATTGCAAAAGTGAAAGGCTTTGCTTTAAGCAGAGAGTTCCAGAATGGCAGTGGCTACTTAAGCTGTTCCTCAGGAATTAGTTCATGGACACTGGAGCCCCACAGCCAAGAGAGAAGGAACCCAGGCTACTGCTCCAGCTGGCAGCAGACCTTGGTGTCATCCATGTGGTGCTGGTTACAGGTGCAGGCAGAATGCAAGAGGTGTAGGGTCAGGAAGGCTTCCACCAGATTTCAGAAGGCCTGGGAAGAGAGGCAATGTGTCTCTGAGAGGGCAGGGTGTGAAGCTATGAATATGAAACCAAAGGTAGAGTGGAGATGCCACAAGTTTGGAGAAGCCAGGACTATGAACTGTCTTAAGGAAAATTGCAAGGAGGGAGCAGAACCAAGAGAGAAGCCATGGAAGCTACAACCACTACAAGTACTATAGGGGCAGAGTCAACAAAGTCCTGTGGAGTTCGAAACTTGCCACAGATTGCCTTAGATGGAAGTTGCACATGGAACTATAGGACTTAATGTTTGCCCTGCTGGATTTTGGACTTGTCCATTCCTTTCTACCACCCTATTTGTACCTTTTTGAACGGTAATGTTTATCTCGTGCCAGTGTTCTTTGGAAGCATTTAACTTTTTTTCATTTGTACAGGGACTCACAAATCAAAGTGCCTTAAAATCTCAAAGATTTGGGACTTGGACTTTTCAGCAATGCTGAAAGTGTTAGGATTTCAGCAACTCTTAGAGATGGATTAAATGCCTTTTGCATAAAAAATATAGCGATATGTTTTTGTTTATACTTTTGAAAACATCCACAGTAAAAATTTAAGTTCCATAAGCACAAAATGTCAGGGCTGTGGATTTGGCTCAGTGGTTCCACTTCCTGCTTCAAAAGCGCAAGGGCCTGAAGTTTGATCCCTACCAAAAAA